TGGATGATGAAGATATTGAACTTCCCGAAGAAGAGCCGGAACTAGGAAGTAAGGTACCACCTTACTCTCCGAGAGCCAAAGGTAGACCACATTCGTCAGACTCTGCAAAAGAGGAATACGCGAAAGCGGTCGAGGCAACCAAGAAGGCCTTTGGAAACGCCAGCTTCGTCACCAGATTCAAAGAGCCCGTCGACCTCTTTGACATCGCCGATGACAAAGAAGGAGGAGAGTACAAGGTCGCAAATCACAGGGTTGATAGATCAGGTCCTGATGGAAAGAGGGAACTTGATGCACTTATTCAAGAGGCTGCAGCACTCGGAATAAAGATGCCCAAAGTGAAGGACCTTGCTCCTGATCCACAACAATCTCAAAAGGCTGGATATCGGCAGATTGAGGTGGCTTGCGATAGAGGAAACATTGAGATAATTCCACAGTATGGAGTTACATTTTATGTGGAGTACTGGAATGGACCGAAGGTAGATGCAACTTTCACGGATCCGCCAAAGATGAACCCAGCAGTTCGCATTGACAAACTCAGCGAGGAGAGTCAGTGGATCAACGAGATTAGCCATAGACTCAATAGACTACTCAGGCATGGAGTGGGAAAACATAATGGGATTCAATCGCACCGCGGTCGAAAACCTCATGTGTCCCCGAAGTGCAATGAGGGTGGATGGGTGAACATCGATGAGATCCTGGAATATGATCATGTCTTCAACGATGGTGTCAATATCAGTACTATCACAGGTACCCGACGTGAGCAAGATATCAAGACAGAGCGATACCAATATTTATGCAAGGCGATGTGGCATGCAAAGAAGTTGCAGAACAGAGTACGCTATCAGATTGCCGCCGTTCGCATATCAAAGGAGGATGTCTCACTCGAAGAGGAAAGGCGATACTGGGCAAACCTCATGTTTCACGGCACAGATGCACCATCATTTCTGAAGCATGAACGTTGGATCGTTCCTTGTGCAATTCGAGCCGTTGCCTCTCACAATTCTGGAAGAGAGACTGTTCTTGAAGAGGATGTGTCAATATATCCTGTATGGACTTCACATCTCATTCCAGAGAATGTGGCAACGCAGCTTGGAGGAAGTTTTCACATGACATCGCTTTCCAATATTGAGTCAATCATGAAACTAGGAATTGTCCCTGGTGGAATGGATGGATATAGAGGTAGTGTCTTCTTCAACCACTTTGCGCCGTGGGATGATCGATCATCAAAGATCCTGAGATCAAGATGGCCAAGAGGGGGAATGCCCGTTTGCCTTTATGTTCCAATCATGACTTTGAGGAAGCTTGGAGGAAGAATTTCGGAGAATTCCTACACTGTTGTTTTTAGAGAAGTTCCATGGAGATGTGTACGAGGTGCTTGGTATTGGGATGACCACGGTCAGGCGTGGAGGAGACTCCTGCTGGGAAGCACTGGAGAACAAGTTGTTCTAGCGGCACGTCATGGACTTTGGGTCGCTCAGAAGCATACCATCCTCGGCAGAGCCGACGAAGTCACAAAGTCAGCCTCGGCAACAGATGACAACGTCCAGAAGCTCGTGTCCCTTATCGATGAAGTACGATTCGATGACAATGGAGAGCTGATCGAGGATTCCATCAGTGAGGAAACTTGGGACGAAATCATCTCCAGAACATGTGAAGGGTATCGCAACGTGGATGGCAATATTTTATGTCCATCATGTATGCATTTGACTTCTTCATCTTTGTCCGTATGCCTATCTTGTCAAGGCAGGCTACTCTCGTGTGGTATTCGCAACACTGTCATTTCCGATTCACCCGTTGATCTTGTGAGCGACGATGAAGAAGAAAAGAAGGAAGAGAAGAAGCCTGAACATGATGATCAAGATATGTTGGATCAGGCCACTATGGACGAGATCAGAAAAGCTTGGGAAGAAGACATCGCTCAAACTGAAGCAGCTGATGACGACGAGGACATGGACAATCAAGACCCTTCCAAACCGTCTGATGGTGCAGAGAACCTCAAGAGTGACAATGTCGAGACCCCATCTTTCAATGAGGATGAGATCGACTACGGTCGTGATTCTGATCTAGAAGATGAAGACGAACGAAACATGATCATCGAGATCCAGAGGAGCACACAACAATATGAGGGGAAGAAACGTCAAGATGGTGAGCCCGAGGATGAAGACGTCACCGACGACTTACATCCGGAGGCAAATCGACCGACAGATCGTGATGAACCGGGGTACTACACACAGCATGGAGCGACCGAGTTCAATCCCGAGGAAGGAAGAGACAACGAAGATCTCCCCGTCTATTGTCGAGTACCGGAACCTCGAATCTATGCGCATCAAGAGAGAGCCTACTGTCAGGACGTCTCCATGAATGCATCGGGTTTGATGGATAGGTATGTGGTCAAATGTGTGCTGAACATGATCTCCCTGATGTACAAGAGCTACTATTGCACCAGCCTTACCGACTTCAAAGCAAATTGGAAAAAGAAGCGTCTGGATGTGATAAGTAAGTTTGGTACAGGAGATTCCACTGAAATCGATGACGATGGGAGACCATTGGATCCAACAGATGACATGATGTTAAACTTTGCCAACGACAACAATATTACAACTGAGGAGGCCTGGCACCGATTCAGAGGGGAACAATTCATTTGCAAGGTAGCGCTCATGATCCTATCATTCGGTCATACTCCGAAATCCTTCAAAGAGGAATATGGCAACTTCGAATACTCCACCGACTTGACTGACGCCCAGCTTGAGGAGTTGAAAGCGAAGAAAGCCAGTGCAATGACTGAATTGGTACAGAAGTGCATCCATGCGATTTATGGGTGTCGGACATATTCTTATTTTAGAACCGACATTACATCACCCTACCACAAGGTGATCGATCCTCTGGACATCATGTACTCGAGAATGAAGAGCAAGTGGGAGAAGTCTATTCTTTTGATCATTGATCAACATGAAATCAGGTTGCCCCCACAGGCTCAGGAAGTCATGGAGTCAATGGCCAGAAACCCCAACGTTGGACATACAGAGAGATGGATGAGCGTGGTAGAACATAAGCATGTCCAAGCTCTTACCAATCGTCTAGGCTTTGGAGATAGGGCCAAGGAGATTCAGGGCAAGAAGAAGCAGGCAGCCAAGGCAACAGCTAAGTCAACATCAACGACTAAGTCTGAAGCGAAAACAGCATCTTCGTCAAGAGCTGAGGCAAAGCCAGCATCTACACCCAGAACCGAGGCCAAGCCGTCGTCAGCACCAAGTGAGGAGCCAAAACCTTCCACAGAGGAGAACAAGGCGAAGGCTGTTCTAAAAGCCAGATCACATGATAAATCACCATCCAATGCTACCGATGTGTTCGAGCAAGCCTTGAAGGAAGATCTTGCCGCCAACACACATGCAGCAGAAGGTACAACTTCTTCATCATCCCGAGGACATTCCAAAGGAGGAGGCCAATCTGGAACATCTTGGAGGCCAGCGCTAACGCAAGAACATCGCGAAGTACCTCAACCTTCTGAAAAGGGAAAGGGAAAGAGCAAGTCCAAGGGAAAGTCCAAGAAGGGAGAAGATGATCGATGGGATGCTCAGGGCAGCTGGGATCATCGTGGATGGAGAGGTTATCACCAGTGGTGATTTCTTTGAACGACTATGAGAATACCATGCAGACCAGGGAGGAAGTCATTCACCGGATGTCTATCTGACCTGAAACGCTGTAAATGTATCATTGCAAATCGTCAATTTGATTTGATACCATGAGCATAATGGAAGGAAGACAATCACCGACTGTCTCTCCGACTTGCCGTTCTGTAAGTGTATCCAAACCAAAACCTACATCTTTGAGAAGTGTGAAGTCAGTTGCCGATGTGACATCTACGTGGAAGTCACCAGTTCGGGTCTACATCAAAGCGATGCTCTTTTGAGTGGACACTGAGCGAGGCCTCGCGACTGTCTCACTTGTTCAATTCGATTTTTTTTCATAGGTTCTGAGCCATAGTTGCACACTTTATATGTAAAAGTCCGCTTTAGTCCAGCATGTTCTGTAGTATGAGCCTCATATGAGTCTCGCGGCAAATCATACAATTCCTTTGTAGCACTTACATCCCTAAATTTTCGTGTGTGATCGGAACATATTGTTACCGTTCACATGGGGGGTGCGAATGGAAGTGCAGCGACATGTATAGTGCAACATGTACCATATGTACTTTGGCTCAAGGACCAAGCGACTAGAAAAGGTGCGGATTCCGTTCCGACGCTACGCCGCTTATGGACCGTCAGTGATAGCTTCAAACTTCGCTGATTAAGATCCACTCGCAATATTTGTAATGGCATATATGGCTAGACTCTGTACTGATCAGCAAAAAAAGCGTCCTATTCAGAGGACTTTGAGGACTACGAATCACTTGTCTCACTTGCAGAGACTTGTTATGGTGGAGAATCAGTTGAACTGTTTGGGGTGGATCGAAAGATCTCTCACTCAGGCTGTTCAGCCACTGCCCGGGCACTTGCACAAATCCACGACTTGGTAGGCTTTGCTGGCTTCATGTGATGGAAGGCTCAAGATTGGGGCCCAAGGACCCTGCATATCAAAGACTTGTAGGAGCTTGCATGAGCTTGTCACAACTTGTCATTTTTAGAGCCCAACCTGAATGAAGAAAAATTCTATAAAATGCTTAAAGCCTTAGGCCTTAGGCTTCGCTTTATTCTCATGAGCCATGAGTCGCCCAGACTCAGAGGTGGGAGATGCTGTGGGCGACGATGTCCTATCCGTCCTAGCCTCCCCGGCGTCCGATGTGGGGAATCCAAAGGGCTCACATCAGTAACAAGAAGCTAGTAGAAACAAGTGCCACGCTAGTAGTAACAGGTGCCTTACTAGTAGTAACAAGAAGCTATTAGAATTAAGGATGGGGGGACTTCGAGTGACTGCGAAAGGTCCATTTCTGCATCGCTCGATACCTGCACCACCCGGAGTCGAGCGCCTGTTTGCAGGTGTCCAGGCGAACTTTTGCCGGCCGCTGCTGTACAGGTAGGGCAGTTCAGCAAGTTTTAGCATAATTTAGCACCAACATGTCCAGGTCATTACGGTACTGGCACGGTGATGCACGCACCATTTGCAAAAGCCTGAATGAGTCAAACTAAAACTCTCAGCAACAATACTGGCTGGATGTGCGGGTGAAGTGAGACAGAGTGACAAGTTGCGCAGTGTTGACCATGAAAATTGTGCTTCGACAAATCCCTCGGCATATTCGACGCAGGTTTCGGCTGGGCTGCGAGCTGTTCGGCTGCGCAGCTCCAAGTTTGGCCAACGGCCTCCATGGCCAAAAGATGTCAAAAGGTTGTGTGACCAGTATGCTTTCGCATCATTGATCCGTTGATCATCATTCATCATCGATCCTTAGACCAAATGATAAGGTCTTGCTATTCTCAATCGTCATTCTTCAAGTCAATGTGCAGCTCTCAGACGCAGTGACCTGGCCCTACATAACCCGACGACTTCGGGATCCCGAGGACTTGATTCAACTCTTTTGGCTGGGAACACTGGTCAATGTCGCCGGGGTGCCCGGCCGGTGGCCTACCAAGTGTAAAACTGTGAGGACGGACCCGTTGAAGAGGTTCCACGACACAAAGCTCCATTTGTCTCATGGATCCTTATGTCAACAATCGTAAAGCCTGTGCCATGCTCTCACTTTGCATGAGCACAATCCAAGTCCAGGTCAGATAAGAGATGATAAGAGTCTCAAGTTTAGATGCACATGGCTCTGGACAGTTGCTTGTGGATCATTGTTGGGCACCGGATCATTGTTGCGCCGGCCAGGCCCTCTCCGTGACAAAGATCATTTTAGCCCAGGTCACTGTGCAGAAGGATGGGTTGCTCGGTTGCTCGGTTGCTGCGGGATACGTTGGATAGCTCAGAATCGAAGACCTCTTTGTCACCCTGATCAAGTAAGTGAGACATGAGACATGATGCACCTAATACATTCGAAGCATGATGGTGATCTATAGTATAATGCTGCTACAATCATACACTGACTGGACATGTGCTCCGGCAGGCCTTAATGGCAGATGCTATTCACGGCTTGGGAGATACTGCCGCGGAGGTGGTTGTGGCCCCAGCGGCCTCATTGACACGTCATGTCAGTAGTGTCATTAGAGCTTTGTGTGTCCAGAGTTCTCCTTTCTGTGATTTCTCGAGCTGCAGAGAGAGGACAAGCACTCCATTCAGGTCACAGCTTTTGCCTACATAGAAGCGGCACGGCCGCCAGATAAGGAGCCCATCATGTTGCGGCCAATTGCAGCCGATCCCCGAACATGACAGATATGAGTGAGAAGCTCCTTGTGCAAGGAGCATCCATGGGGTCATGGCAAGATTGAGTCCATTGGTGCTGTCATTGCGGCTTGGATTGCAGGTGCCAGTCATAGCGGCCTAGCGTTGGTCCACTGAGAAGATCACTCTGATTGGAACCTGACCTTTCACCAAGAGCACTCCCGCAGTGTAAGCAATTGATCGAACGGATGAATGTTTGGCCAAGCAATGAACTGTCCTCTTGCTGGTTTTCTCCGTTTTTCTGACAGCTTTGCTGCTCACCAGCTCCTGAAGCTCAGGTCACGTGCATCCTTTTGTACATATCATTTTCCATGGGCCTTCCACTTAGACGACTCATTGTCATTGCTTTGTCTCAATGCGATTGATGAATATGTATAATATATATATATATATTATATTATATTATATATCTTTACGAAGACGCTTGATTAATAACCCCCCAGATGAAGAGGTGTTACAACCAGGCATCTTGGCCCAAAGCCATTTGCCTTAGGGCACGCCGGGTTCCCGCGGCTCTGCTGCCTGTCTCCCGACAGGGGTGGAGCGTCCACCAAGGCCGCTGGCCGACTCGCCTGTGAGCTTTGTTGTGCCCCACGACCGCTTGCGCCATGGTTGGATCTTTCGACCACTTGCTGCAGGATGCTGAGCACCTGGAGGACCCTTGGAGAGGCAGATTGATTTCCTTTTTGGAGGCTCATCGTTCAGCTGGTCACTTGCTACATGTCGGTGATAGGATCCTCCTTGTTGGAAAGGTCGAAGCTGTGACAGATGCGGTGATTGAGATTGCACCTCTGGAATTTTGTCCGGGCCGTGGATTTGCTGAACCTACGGTTGGACAAAACAAGATTCGAATCTATGTGCCTGGGTTGAGCCGGAGATCAGCTTTGCCCGTTGTGAATGATGAGATTGTTTGCCATGGGAAGCAGAACTGAGTGTTGGGATGCTCTTGCATTGGCGGAGGACACCATCATTATTCCCCGAGCTCAGTTCAAGCCACATGAACCTTTCCATGCGCTGCACTTATTTGCGGGAGGATTCGGAGGCTGGTCTCGGGCTATGCACTGGCTTGCCAGAGAGGTTCCGCACATCAGCATTGCCACCGAGCTTTTCGTGGACAACGACGACAAGGTGATGGATGTGTGGTCCTATCAGACAGGATTGAGATACCACAAAGGCAAATCAGTGAGTGCTGGACAGGTGAACTTAGCTGCCAAAGCTGGCCTGTGCACGAGCGTTGATGACCCCACGATCCTGCATTGTTGGAAATGTGCAAGCAACTCCGTTGCAACCGCTTCACCACCATGCATTTCGTGGTCACAAGGCGGCAAACGCCAGGGCTTGAGCTGTTCCAGCGGTTTCGCGATGGCTGAAACAGTCATGCTCGCTGAAGTGCACCAACCACTGCTCCTGTTTTTGGAGTGTGCAGATACCACGGTCTCACACGAGCATTTCCCCTTAGTGGAGAACATGTTGCATCTAATTGGGTACCGTAAGGTTTGGCACCAAGTTGTTGCAATGCACCACTTGTCCAATAACTCTCGCTCCAGATGGCTTGCAGTTTGGGCTCGTGTGGATTTAGCCCTTCGACCCCACGAAGCAAACTTTGAACTCCGGGCACCGCCACTGGTGAAATGGAATGATCCATCCAATGAATTTTGGACCCCAGAATCTTTCCACTGCCAGCTTCGATTGTCAGCTGAGGCACTTTCGAAATACGGAAACCCAGGGTTACTCCCACCTGCCAAACGTGCCAGGACCAATGCTGAGACCTCCACTCAGGAGACGCTTCAACTGAGGCTTGCTGACACCACTCAGCCCTTGCCGACTTTGTGCAGTTCGTACACCAGGCAACACCTCTTGCAAGCAGAGTCATGGCCAAGGGTATTTTCGCTTCGTTGCAGATCGTCGCCGATAAAGTGTGCTTCTTATGCCCTACTCGGTTTGTTCCACTGTTCGGCACTACAGACAAGATTGTGCTACCGAGTGATGCATCCTTTGCTTTCCACATCCTTGGAAATGCCATCACTCAATCACAGGCGACCTTGTGCCTTGCTGTTGGTTTTCAAGCGCTCCTTGCTGAGGATCTGGCACCAGTACAACTTGTTCAAAAGGCGTGGGAACAGCGTCTCACCAGTCAGAATGCCCTTGTGCAAGTCTTCGAACAGTGGCTCACCATCAGCAGAGTCGAGGACATTGCTGCCTGCGTGGTACCAAGGACCTTGCCCTTGTCCTTTGATGGTCCTTTGATTTCGCTAGAGATTGAACACTGCACAGCCAGATGACATGGCAAGCAAAAGTCCCACCCAAGACTTCCTTGTCCACCGCTGTCATTCTTACGATGTTCACTAAAGGAATCATGCCTGAAGCCCTTCGCTTTCGCACTAAGGACCACACGCCGCTCAGTGACATCACACTGACAGATGCTTTCGCTGTCACTCCGCAGGTCTTTTGTTTCATTTGGGATCGCCCCCTGGTTTCTTTTCGGCCTGTCTCTGTGTGTCCACATGTGAGTTCTGCGTCAGATGCTGTGGTGTCTCCGACTCTGCCCTTCACTGTGCCAGTCGAGGATTCACAACCCATCACGATTGAGACTTCACCGCCGGTTCAACCTGCTCCTGAGGCCTTCCAGGCTCTGCTGCGTTTTCTTGAGTTCAACACTCATTGGCACCCTGCTTCCAATCGATCCAAGCAATTGGTATCCCTCCTTTGGGAAGCTCCACCTGGCGTGCTTACCATCCAGCTTGACACCATCGTCCCGGCTGCGGACCTCCAAGAGCAACTTGCCACCCACTTTGGTGCTGACACCTACACCGTGTTCCAGAGCCCATTCGCTCTCCCTAAGATTGCACCAGGACCTCTCTTTACTGTGAGGCTCCGCAACCATCCCAATGATGCGCTGGTTGTTTTCCAGAAACTCCAAACTGAAGTCTGGGTTCGCGTTGCAGCAGTCCCCAAGCAGATCCCACATGACACCTGCATCACTGCTGCTGACGGCAACTACACCATTTGCAGTCACAACAACAGGCCATGTCCTGCTGGACCACTCCACATTGCCAATGGTGATCTCTTGATCATTGAGCCTACTCCGACCATTCACGCTGGTGGCCACCATCGTTGGACTGAAAGACCAGAAAGCCTCCCACGTGGGGCCAACCTCACCGACAGGATCGCCTTTGCGATCAACACACATGGGTGGGTTGCTTCTGATGAGCTCCACTCTGCCATGACATACCTGACCAGGCACTTCCCCGAGACCATCGCCGAGTTCAACCTCCTGCGATGGAACTCCGACGGAAACGAATTTGATGATGAGCTCTACGGAGAACCCAGATTTGCAAGCGCAGGCAGAACAGTCACTGCAATTCTTGTTGACAATCACTGGGCTTCCATTGAAGTCAACCGGATTGGCAACCTGATTCAGGTTCACGCTTTCGGGCTCACTCCCCCACTCGCCAATCGAGCCATCATCATCATGCGCCGGCTCCTCGATATCGCCCCTCACCGTGCCCAGCAACACATCCACGCAGGGCTACCACCAGAACATCTCTGCGGCTGGTTCTTGCTCTTTCGCTACTACAGAATATGCCGCATCCACGATACGCTTCCCAGCTCTGTTGAGCTCTTCAATGAGCTGCCGCCATTCCGAAGAGCCGAAATCAGGGAGGCTTGGGAGTCTGGCCAAGAAGATTGGAGAAGAGCGGGAGCCAATGATGGCCTACTTCTCTTTGCAACCAACTTGAGGACACATTTCCTCACACATCTTGCTGCCACGGCCACCCAGACCTCTTCGGTCCCGGTACCACTTTCGGTCCAATTCCGAGCCCAGACACCGACCCCTGAGACGCAACAACCAGCGTCTCAGCCACCTCCACCGGAGGATCCAGCACCACTCGAAGCAACACTTGGATCAACAGAGCAACCCGAACCAGAACCTGCTCGGCATGACCCTGTCCACCACAGACTCCTTGAATGCCTCCAGCAACCTGGCTGGCTTTCCTCGGATGTGCTTGATCATGCCCTGGACTTGCTTCGGTGGCAGTTCCCACAGGTTTGCTTTTGCCCACCGGCTGTTTGGCGACCTGAGTTGCTCCAGGTCTCTTACCTCGCAGGCTTGGAATGTCTTCCTGAGACCTTCAGCAACCTCATTGTGTTCATTCTGTGGCACGAGCATTGGATTGTGTGTGAAGTGACTGTTCATGCGTGGGAGGCTTTCGTCCAAACCATTGGGCCAATCGAGCTCATGCCTGACCTCACCAGCATTGTTGCTGCAGTGTGCATGTTGTTTCAAATCCAAGATGTTGTTCTCAACACTGCTACTACCCACTTTCGCGCCTTGCCTGGTTTGTGCGGATGGACTTTGCTTTGGACTTTGTTTCAACGATTCCAAACACGACCCTCTCATGCATCACAGCCACTGCTTGCGGCTTTGAGGGCTCACCCTCACTATGAGCTTATCCAGCAGATCCAGTTGCGTGACCATGCTGTCTGGGAAAATGCTGAACCGGCCTTGCTTGAGTTTGCTTCGGCTATCCAACTTGAGTTCATGACGCGCATCATCCAGAATCGTGTCCCCTTCGAGCGAGCAAGAGGTGGAGCTCTTACAGATGCCTCTTCTAGCAGTGCTTATGTTACCACCGGCATTCACCCTGTCAGTGCTTTGCCTGCTTCCCGTGTCTTTGACCGGCTTCAGCTGTTTGACACGCAGCCAGGATGGCTTTTCTCTGACACTGCTGACTACTTGCTTGACTTCCTGCAGCAACATGATCCGGATACTGCGTACCTTCCTCCCATGCAATGGACTTTTGAAGGTGGTGCCACTACCTTCAACGACTTGCAGACCTCCGTCCATGCATATCAGAAGATCATCGGCCTTGTTTTGTGGAACACACATTGGATTTTGTGTGAAGTGCAATCCACGGTTTGTGCACAGTGGATCTTCCTTACCGGCCCTGCCGAACTTCGACCGCATTCGATTGCCTGTGCAACAGCCATTTGCGAGCATCTTGGCATTGACCCTGTTCCACACATCGTGTTTCGGGATTTTCAAGCTGATCCTCATCTGTGTGGCTGGACGCTTCTTTGGCTTTGCTTTCAGAAGGCAGGGGTTGAGATCCATCACCCGGGACCATTGCAAGAGAGTAGCTTCTTGCGCAGCATTCATCATGCCGAAGTTCAACGAGTTCTCACCAATGCGGCTGCAGCGTGGCAACAACCAGTGATCCACCAAGCAGCGCTTTTTGCCATGCGCATGCTTCCATGGCACCTCTTGCAGGTCCTTCAAGGCCGTTTTCCCAAGCACCAGGCTCCCGGAGGAG